AAACATATAAAATCTTAAAGATTCTTGAAAAATTTTTAATAGAAAAAATTTTTGAACAAAAACTTTAAAGTTTTATTACTCAAAAATTTATTAATAATTTTAAAAAACTTTTATAATAAAAGTTATAAAATATGTTTTTATTATTTTATTTAAAAAATACTAAATACAATTAGATTTTCTAGACAAATTTGCCTAGAATATAGTTTAAGGGATAGTTTTTTATGTTTGTTTGCACTATTTGCTTTCTTTGTATTTCACTTCTCCTTTTTCTTTTAGGGCCAAGTTCTTTATCGCTCTAGCCCTTTCTCTGTTTTCAATAATGGCACCTTTCAGGAGTGTCTAGTAATTCTCCTTCTTGTTTTAGAGTTTTGTTCTAGATTATCTAGTCTTCTTAGTATTTCTTTTAATGCTGTTTCTAGACTATATTGACTTGTTTCTTCTTTATTTTTGATTCTTTTTTGCTTTGCTTCTTTGTCTTCTTTAATATTCTTTTTCCTATTTTTGCTATTTTTTCTCTTGCTGATTCCTCTGCTTCACTTTTTTTGTATTCAGATTCTTCACTAAATTCTTTTTCTTCTCTTTTTCTTCTTGCACCGAGTACTTTTTCTTCCTTTTCTCTTGATCGTGATCTCTCTGATCTGTCTTAATTATCTTTATCTGAGTTGTATTGGGTTTTCCATTCTAGTACCCAGTTGTTGTATCTCACTGGTCTCATTGTAGCTTTATCTTTATTTTCTTCATTTTCAAAAGTTACTATTGCAATTGCTCTTTGCCATCCATTTCTGTTATATGGAATATATACTGATTTTGCTGCCTTGTTTCTTAGTTTGTTTAGCAGAAGTATCTCTGATGCCTCTTTTAGCAACTCTTTTAGTCTTGCTGTTATCTTGCTTCGTCTGTTTCATTCATCGAAATCTTCTATACCTTCTGTAATTCTTGCCAGTTTTTTGTCGTCTATTGATATTGCCCATAGTATTTCTGCTTCTCTTTCTCTGTCTATCTTCAATATTGCTTATATTTTTGTAAAGCTTCTCTTGATTTGTACATCTTCTTCTATGCCTATTTTCTTACAGGCATACTGTATTTCCTGCTGATTTATATCCTTTGGCAGGTCCCACAATGTTATATATTTTGAGTTTCTATCTTCATTATCTATATTTAGTCTTCTCCTTTCTTCTTCTTCTTCTTCTGAATCATATTTTGCCTTCCAATCTTCTTGTTGTTTTTTATATTTCTTTTCTTTTTTTACTTTCTTTGTTTCATTGTCATTGTTTTCTTTTTTCTTGGGTTTTTTACTTTCTTTTGGAATCATTCTAAACCAATCTCGGCTTTTCTTCTCTATCTTGTCTATTGCTTCTTTTTTTTCTGCTTTACAGTCAAAAGTAACTTCTATCTATTTGTTATAGTTCTTAAAAACTTCTTTAACTTTTTTAATATAGTTGTTGCCTACCAGCATCCCTTTTACCATTTTAATACATTGTTCTTCATTCTCTCCTGGCATATTATAGGCTAGTATATTTGCTTTATAATTGTCTGTGTTGTTGCATAGATGTCTGCTTGGTGTCTAGATGTTCTGACTTAGTAGAATTGCTGATAATATTAGGTCTTCTTCAACTATTTCTTGGCTGGATAATCTTATATCTTCCATCTTGCATTCTTCATTGTAGTTCTTCTTGTTTTCTTCATCTTTTTTAGGTTTCTTTTCTGTTTTTCTTTTCTTGCTTTCTTCATCTAGTATTATTATTACTTCCTCTTGTTTACTAATGACTTGATTTTGTTTGTTTGTTACTATGTCTAATTTTTGCAATTGTTGCTGTATAGTTTCTAAACTATTTTCTTTCTTGTCTCTAGCTAGTATCTCTTCTTCTTGTCATCTTTTTTTTCTGTTGTTGGTTCAATATTGTTAGCTTTTTTTATAATCTCTATCTTACTTTTTTCTTTTTTAACCTCTTCTTGACTCATGTTTGTTAGATAATTAATTAAACCTGGGTTTAATTCGATCATTTTGACTTTTTCTTGCCATTTTTGTACTATATTTCCTGAGAGCCTGTATTTTGCTTCAACCAGTACTTTTCGTATTTGACTAAATATAGATAGCATCTCTAGTATATTCTCATCTAAATTCTTCATAATGCAAAATGTAGCTATGCAGTCTATTTCATCAGGTTCTCTTTCTTTTGCCTTTTGTAAGCAATTTAGCAGAGATGAACAATTGAGGTACTTAAGATGTGATTCTGCAGCTTTCATTGGATATCTAAGCAGCTCTATATCATATATATTATGTATATGCTCCATTTCTGTTATTAATTTTAATTCTATTGATTCATCCGATTGACTTATATTGACTATATTTTAAATCTATAGTGTTTAGTATATCTATACTGTATTTTCGTAATTTTTTTTAATTTATTCTTTTATAATAAATCTTATATCACTATTGCTATCATATTACCGGTAATATTAAGATTCATGTTTATATACAATTGATGTGTTATTTTGATTATTTATAGAAAAGTCTATAAACATATAAAATCGCATATAAGATCAGTGATTGGTAGTACATTTAGTTAGGTTAGATCATGTGATTGGTAAGTATTTGTAGATTTATTAAATCATTTCTATTTGTTATGTGGTTTAAAATTAATAAATCTTATTGGTCAATTATATTAAAAAAAAAATTTTCAGATCTTGTTTTACTGACTTGGACGGGATATGAAAATCAATTATATTAATTTATATCGTCTAGACATGAAATAGGACTGGGATTGTCTAAGATAAGTTTTTTTTGTATCTTTTTTTATTTAGTCACAATTTCAAATAAAATATCACAGAAATCGCAGCTAAAAAAAATATATAAAGAAAAAAAAGTGTAGTTTTGATAAAAGGACCTAATTAAAAAAAAAAACTTATCTTAAACAGTCTCATTCTCATTTCACATTCAGTAACTATTTTCAAATGAAATACTAGACACCAACTTCGACACCAACAATGAAATGCATCTAAAAAATACATGTTAGTAATAAAAAAAAATTAAAGCAGACTAAAAAAAATAAAAAATCTACCAACTCAAATAACAATGGCTTCAATAAATCTTTACGTTTTGATCACAAATTCTAAATGAAAATAATACCTAAAGAAAAGAAAGTTAGTTTCAATAACAAAACAAGAAAAACTGATAAAACAAAAAGAAAAAAACTTAACCTAAAGACATCCCAGTTTTATTTCGCATCAACAGCTGTTTCTAAACAAAAAAATATTTAAAAAAGAGAAAAGTTAGATTCAATAGCAAAATAAAAAATAAAAAACTAATACTTATAGAAAATGAACAAAGAAGTAATCACAAATCATCTACCTATTCTGCAAGATTCAAAAAATGATGATTACAAAGGCTTCAACAACCTAGAAGAAAAAAAAAACATTAGTTAAAAAAAATTAAAAAAATTAAAATAACATAGAAAAAAAATAGAAAAAAAAAAAAAAAATCAAAAAAAATATTTAGCTTTTTTTGTATACAAAACCTATCCACTGTTGAATTTAAGAACCTAACCCACCTACTGTTAAATTCAAGAACCCACTAACTCACCCACTATTGAATTCAAGAACCCACTAATCCACCTACTGTTTAAAATTACTAACTCATCCACTGTTAAATTTAAGAACCCACCTGCTATTAGAAATTGCTAATCTATCTGCTGTTGAATTTAAGAACCTACCCACTGTTGAAGTATTGAAACTATTAAACTATCTGCTATTTAAAACCACTAACCTACCTACTGCTAAAATTGTAAAACACTGAATATAAAGACAACAATAACAAAATTATTTAATAGAAAAAAAAAAAGATTATTTTGAAAAGATAGAGAAGATCCCAATGATTACTTATACCAAACTTATGGCTAATGAAAACAGAAACTTGTTGGAGAAAAATAGAAGAGACAACTATGAATAATGATTTTTACAGAGGTCAAGACTTCAGCTTGATTTTCTTCAGACTCATTTGTATATTTAGTATACAAGTTAAAAGTGTTCTTGAACAAGATAACTGGCAAGAAGGTGGTACCCTTGTGCAAAAAATTGTAATAGAAGCTCTGCTTCTGCTGACGAAGTTAAAAATATTTGGTCTAAAGAGAACAACAAGTGAGTTTTCAATATATTCTTTACCGAAGTTTAAGGCTACTTGCAACCTGAAACCCTCTCCCATATCTTCACTCTTAATCTTTACGAAATTTCTTCAAAAAATGGGAAAAACAGCATATCTCTATCAAAAGATCGATAACAATAATTGCTGCTGAAAAAAGAAAGACATGTATATATGTACATATCTACTTTTGGTTATAATGTAAGATAATATAATAAAATTTGAAACATTGCAGAAGATGTGTTGATGGGATGAGATAACATCTAGAAGTTTCGATCCTTGGAGCTTTATTTCAAGACTGGATGGTTTTTGATATTTTTATATTCTAGATATAGATATAAATAACTAGCATAGAGTTTTAGTCTAGATTATTTGTAATACTATATAATTTTTATAATTTTGTACAGGTTTAATAGTGCTATTTTTGTTTTGTTTTGTTTTGTTTTCTTTTTTTTCGTTATTTGTTTTATTTGGTTTTATTGGTTTAGGTGGA